GGAGCACCACTTGAAGACCATCGGCATTGACAAAATCACCATCACTCAATTGCAAAAGGCAACTTTACTTGGAACAGCTTACAGCTCACGATGATACCTTTAACACCACCAAACAACAACATCTGTCTATCCCAGGTCCTTAGGAAGGACTCAACAGGTGGATAAAAATGCCAAATCCAGTCTAAACATCTGGCCGACTGTGTGACCAACAATAATTTATAATTTATTTAAATTTATTGGCCACCCAACTCCACTGGGCAACATTGGGAGCAACATTAGCAGTGCAGTTCTGATGCCTCTTTGTTGCAGGGAGCCCCCCTTTTACATTTAATACTGGGAGGCATTAAATATGATCTGTAGTCACCTGCTATGTATGCATTCAATCCTCTAGATGTTGCTTAGAATTCTCTCTAGTCTCAGAACTCTGTGGACGAAGTCAGATGAGGCATTTATTTCTGGGTAAACAACCATAGATACACATGACAGTGTGTAATAGGTCTTGGACACAGATGACTGCTTCAGAGTAAGATCTGATAACAATCTCAGAGCCACGGACTGGGGGTCAAAGTTCTCTCTTGTAACTGCATACTGTAGCTGCTCAGTTAGCTGTAATATAAAATTACTAGTGGGTACGATTCATCCTAAAAGAGCAGCAAGATTAGTTCAATGTATTTCAGTGATAAAGATTTAAATTGTAAGCTGAATTCCCTCGCTGAATTCAATGGATCTTCAAGGGAGCGCTTCAACTTTCAAATGGGCAGCAAATGTTTTTTAAGCGGAGGAAGAGAAGGTGTCTTTCCAAGAAGCCATTGTGGCATAGAGGTTAAGGAGTTGGACTACTAGTGGGGAGACCCAGGTTCTAGTCCACCCTCTGCCATGGAAGCTGGGTGTCTTTGGGCTAGTCGCTGTCTCTCAGCCCAACCTACCCCACAGGGTTGCTGTTCTGAGGACAAATAGGACACTACACTGCTTTGATGCAGGATATCAGTCCAATATATAAATAAGATGAGGCTTATACCCCAAAATGTAACCCATGAATATTTCAGCTTAAAAGTACTCAAATTTGGCTAGCTTGTGCTTGGGATATTGATATACCATATAAATATTTAGCTAGCTACTAAACAACCTGAATCTAGATAAATGTCCAGCGGCTGCTGTGCTTTGCATTATAGGTTTGTTTACACCTGTACTGATGTAGGTCTGTTTCGGCAGATACTTTGAACAACCTGAAGCTATTGTTCTTTGCCTATATCGGGAAAAATGTTAAATGATCAGTAGGAACGTTATGTTTTCATGGGCCTTGATTGAAATTTTGAAAAATAGAATAATAGAATTTTTATCTTATTTCCCAGCAAGAGTGAAATAGTTGCATATTGATAGTAAGGGGGGTGAGGTGGTACCAACCTTGAGAAGAGGAAAAAGCAGACATGGAACAGATAGAGAGCTGCTTGTTCTACTGTTGAAGGTAGTTTTAATATTTGCTTAATATTTTCCTAAATATTTTCCTAAATTTATCTGTGCCTTTTTCAGAAGTAGGAGAAGGCATTCTATTAACTTCAGCTGAAAGAAGTTGGTGAAATTGATGTTAGTTATTTGCAAGACTTTTGAATAACAAGCTTGAATGGTAAATCAATGGAAGATTGCATTAAACAATATGAAATCCGTTTCATATTTTCTTAAAATGAGGTTAATACGCAAAACAAAAGTTTGTGTGCACTGGACAGTTCAGAGTATATTTAATATGGGTTGATTGTAATCAACCTGCTGTTGAAGATGCATCTCTGGAACTGGAATATTAACCAATATGGTTTAGTCTTGTCCTGTTATGATTGTATTTTAGGCTAGTATCAACAGGATTGTTAATATTATTCAGGATGACTAGTATTTGGAATCTATGAAGAACTGTGGATTTTTTAGGTATGGGGACTGGCTAAAAAAATTATACCACACTGGAAGAAGAAAGCTATACCTGATCTGCAGTAAGAATTTGTTAGTATGTAGAGTTTGTCAGTGCTGAAATTAAGTGGTTTTGTTTGTTTGCTTTAAGGAAGGTGCAAAGAAAAAGCCTTTTGAATAATCAGCCACTGTTTCTGGAGTTCCATTTATAATTTCCAAGTCTTCTTTTTGTTATGTGTGTGTGTGTGTATGTGGTAATTCTTTAATAATTTTGCATGCACTTGTACATTTTTTTAAATTAGCACATTAAAAATTAAAAATAAATCTCAACATGAATAATTTTAAATTAATTCTGTTTGAATTACTTTTATCCAATCTATTCTCCAAGCTTACACCAAACAGTTAAACATTCAAAAGAGCACAGGATAAAATGCAAAATAGCAGTGGTAGTAAGCACCCAGCAATAAAAAATATTAGAAACAGGGACTAATTAAAACAGCAAGGAAAATTAACTATCATGGCCTTCTTAAGTTTTTGCAAAGAAGTTGAAGCGTGAAGGGCATCTCTTGGAAGGAAGTTTCAGATTTTAGCCGCACCCTTCCATGGTTGCAACCACCATACCTCAAAAGTGGCTTGGACATTATGAGGGGCCTTCCAAAGATGACCTCAATAAGTGGGCAATTTTGTCAGAGAGAATATTTGGTTAAGATAGGAAACTTCTGAAATTTGCTCATTCTCACAAGCAGCAAAGGGGCCAAATCAGTATGAGTTTGTGCAGTCATTGTAACTTGGCTAGTTATAGTCTGAGTGATTGTACAGTAATTTGAGTAGTTTCTCCTGGAGTGCTGTGCCATTAAGCTGTATCAATTGCGTGAACTTCAGGCAGACAATAAGGCAGGCTTCCAAAACTTCTGCTGCAACGACAATACAATATTCAGATGGGACGAACATAAGTCTGGAAGTTGAGATCCAACAGGAGTTTTAGAAAGACATTGCTCAGGGCAGTGATGGAGCGCTTTTAGATACTCTTAAGGTTCAGGTCCATGTGGTTTGCAGGTCTTATACATTTTTGAAACTCTTATACATTTTCCCTCCTCGGCATTCCGCTGCTTCAGTCTCCCTTTGGTGAGGCTTTTCTATTTTAGTTGTCAAGGTCATGTGACCCTGCCAGCCAATTGCAACACAGCAGGAGGAATGGAAACTTCTTTCTGAGATGAAAGTAAGTCAAATAGTTCAGCCTTTTCACATTTTGCTCTTCGGGTTCACGGCTCCTTCGATTTACCTTTTTATGACTTTCCTAGCTTTTATTAGGCTAAATACAACTCATGGTGCTCAGAGGAAGAATTACACTGTTTCTTTTGAACAGTCTTATCGTACTGTCACTTTTCCTTATGGTATTTTTTGTGTCTTTGCAATGTGGCTGATTGTTTAAAAAAAGGAATGTGATTCAGAAGCTGTGATTTACAGAGAAGTGCCAATTTGAGCAATTCCCCAATCCCCCCTAATAATCTGGCCTAAGAGCTTGATAAATTGCCACTTGCCAAGCATTTGTGTGACAGGCACCCCCACCTCCTCCCTACCTTAAGAGCAAGAGAGGAAATGGTTACAACAAGAATCCCATGATCTAATCTTAACCAGTTGCACGTGAAGTTGGAATCAGGATTATTTTGATAAAATTGGTAACGATTTATTTCTTAGTGGCTTCAAAACTCTGGCCTTAAATTATTAGCACATTTAATTTAAGAGAAACGTACAGAAATAATATCAGATCTGAAGATAATGTAACTTTTGTGTTCATATAATACATGTTATATCAGGAATAAAAATTACAGAATTTGTCTAGAGCAAACAGTGAATGCAGACAACAACAT